GCAAAAGTGAGGAGATGGGTACTTCCTAGGCAACTATTATAACTCGGCTGGGCTCCGTTTGTGTGCGAATCGTGAAAACTGCTGTAGGTAGTGGGAAAAGCGTGAATTCGGGCGGTGTTGGGTGGGTAGGAGGAACGGTATAGTACAGCCTTTAACTGTGCAGCAGAGGAGGCTGAGGCAGGCAATAACAAAAACTTAGTTCGGGCGAGCATATGCATTCATTTGTTGGTTTGGTACTTTTTATGCATTTTTGCCGTGAAGCGCTAGAGCGCTGCAACAGGCAGTAAAAACGCATATTGCAACAACCCTGTCAGTATGTACGTGTATGTATGTTTGTGTGCGTGCGTGTGTGTTCGCCTGTCCGGGTATTTGAACTCGCCAACCACGTAAGCTTTGAAGCTGAAATTTTGCCAGTGTGTTCCCCAGCCAAGTGCCATCCCAGGACCTCGGCATCAGCTCTGTATGTCTGGGTCCCGCGTAGGAGCACGTGAAAGTTTTGGCGGGGAAACTGATAACTCGGAGAGGAGAAAAGCTAGAAAGCTAAAACCTTACGGAAGTGTTCCTTACCCGTGTATGACAAAAACATTTCAAATCCAGCTGTCCAGGACTGCCCGGGGCTTACGTACGGACATATGAAAATTATGGCGGGGAAATTCATAAATCGGGAATGAAAAAAGTTAGAAAGTTGAAACTTTGGGGGAATGTTCCCTACTCACGCACGACCAAAAGTTTTCAAGCTCAGCCCCTTAGGACCGCCCCAGGCTCACATGCGGGCACTTAAAAATTTTGGCGCGAAAATTACAAACCCAGGAACGTGAAAAGCTTGAGAGCTGAAACTTTAGAGGAATGTTCCCTACCTGTGTATGACAAAAAGATTTCAAATTCAGCTGCCTAGGACTGCAAGGCGCTTACGTACGGTCACGTGAAAATTATGACGGGAAAAATTCATAACTCGAGAATGAGAAAAACTAGAGAGCTGAAACTTTGGGAAATGTCCCCTACTCACGCACGACCAAAAGCTTTCAAACTCAGCTTGTCAGGACCACCCGGGACTCACGTACGCGCACGTGAAAATTTTTGGCGCGAAGATTACTAATCCGGGAACGGGAAAAGCTAGAAAATTGAAATTTTATGGCAATGTTCCTTACTCATGTACGTGCAAAATCAGGAGTTTAGAAGCGCCCGGGG